GAGACTCTTTTCTAAAAAAAAAAAAAAAAAAAAATGAAAAATCTAGATTGCCTTTACGAGAGTGTTGGTAGGCCGGGTGCGGTGGCTCACGCCTGTAATCCTAGCACTCTGGGAGGCCGAGGCAGGCGGATTGTTTGAGCTCAGGAGTTCGAGACCAGCCTAAGCAAGAGCCGTCTCTACTAAAAATAGAAAGAAATTAATCGGACAACTAAAAGTATATAGAAAAAATTAGCCGGGCATGGTGGTGCATGCCTGTAGTCCCAGCTACTCGGGAGGCTAAGGCAGGAGGATTGCTTGAGCCTAGGAGTTTGAGGTTGCTGTGAGCTAGGATGATGCCACGGCACTCTAGCCAGGGCAACACAGTGAAACTCTGCCTCAAAAAAAAAAAAAAAAAAAAGAGAGTGTTGGTAGAAATAGGGAAATTTAAAGGCAATTCTGGTGAGTGCTCAGAAAGCAGAAAGGAGAACAATAGAGAAAGCTTCTATCATCTTAGAGAATACATATATTACCACGAATAGAATGCTGCTAGAAGTATGCATGTTAAAGGTGCCTTTGGTTAGGTCTCAGAGAGAAATGGGGAACGTGCTACTAGACACTGGCGGAAAGGTGATCCTTGTTATAAAGTGGCAAAGAACCCCGCCAACTTGTGTTCTAGTGTTTTGTAGAAAGCAGGACTTGTAAGCACTGAACTTGGATATTTAGCTGAGGACATTTCCAAGCAAAGTTTTGAAGGCATGGCCTGATTTCTCCCCACTGTTCACAGTAAAATTTGATAGAATAGAGAACAAGGAATTGAGGAACTGTTAAGCATGAAGGAACCGGAATGTGAAGATTTAGAAAATCCTCAGCCTAATCTCATATTGCAAAAGGTGAGAAGGCAGCCTCTGGAGAGAACACCAGGGCTGTGACTGGCCAGGCATTTGCTAAAGAGATGAAGCCTGTGACTTGTGGATCCACTCGACCCTCTTGGCAGAAGTTTGGAATAGAGACCGGGCTATCCAAGAGGGATCCATGGAAGAGTTTCTTATTTATAGCATGGACCCCCCATGCACTGCACAAGAGACCAATAAGGTTTGGGAGAATTTTACACCAGCAGAAATACTGCCAACCTGGACTAAAAGGAACAGAGACAGGACGAAAGAAAGGAAGGGTGACTCCAAAGGCAGAGCCATGGATGCAGAGGCCAGAGAGGGCAAAGGCCCAGAGAGTGGGACTGTTTCCCATTTCAGAATATGTCGTCACCCCAGCAGGCCCAGAGGACAGAGCATCAGGCCACAGAGGAGTCTTCTCAGGCCTTGAACCTAATACAATTTTCCCTGCTGGGTTTTGGACTTGCTTGGGACTGGTGACCTGTTTTCTTCCTTCCAATTTCTTTCCTACTCCTGTCCCCCCATTGCATTCTGGCAGCAGGTAACTTGTTTTCTAGGTTCACAGCATGCGGGCAGCCCTGGTGGGCTGTGATAGCTAGTTCAGGGAGGAATTAATGGAGAATAGAAACCTTGGAGGACTAGGGGGAAGGTAGGGCTGTCACAAAGACGGTATGAGGGATGGGCAAAAGGGAGGAGCAGGGAGGTGACAGGAGCCTTACCTGCAGTCACTGAGCTCTCTGGGCCTGTGGATACAAAGAGTTGTTTCTGTTAGCGTGGAGGCCTCCTGGAGCCTGCAAAGCAGGGCAGCCTGGCCCTACACCACAAACTCAAGGTGGAGGAGCTGTCAGGCTCAGCAGCCAGGGGCTAAGACAGGCTGACCTTGGCATACTATCTGCTCAAGTCTAAATGATGTTCAGATGGAAAACTCCCTACTCTAGGAAAAGGGTGAATTGGAATTGTAAAAAGTATATAGGTGACCTATTACCAGTTGACAAAGCGTAAAGTCCCCTCCCTAGCTCAGGGCTTAGCAAAAAGCCTGCGGGAGCAACCAGAGCATTGTTCCCAACATTCAGTGGAAGCCTTCCTGCCCCTCACTCTGACCCTGCTGACTTCGATGGGGCACAGAATTCTAATTATCGAGTATTGGCTTTCCCTGCTGGAGAAACTGGGTGGTGGGGGAAGGCTGCACTTGATGCCAGGAGACAGACTGGGGACAGCCAGAGGTAGCCTGCCAGGGAGACGAAAGAAAACCCAAGCCACCCCCAACCCTCAAGCCTCAGCCACAGGCCCAGGCGGCCACCCTGGTGGTGACCTCCATAGCAGGGCAAGGAAGGGTCCCACACTCACTGGTGAAGAGTTGCTGGATGCGAGGAAAGCCACTGCCAGGCCCACCCAGGAGGATGCTGACTATGATCCAGGTGAGACCCACAGTGATGACTAGGGCCACAATGCGGAGGGGGCCTAGAGGCAGGACAGACACGGGGCAAGCTCACCTCAGACACCAGGTAACTTCAGAATGAACCCATAGCCTGTGATGACCAGGTCTCCCCTTCCACTTGGGAAGAAGTGACTGGAGTACAGGAAGGTGGGGACCTGTAGCCATCCACCAGGCCTGAGAGGGAGACTCAAGCTCCTGGGCAAGTGGAAGGAGGAAACCAAGTTCAAAGGCAAAGCCTGCCCGGTTTGGCTCTCCCTGGAAGGTTTAGAGGGGACTTCCAGAACTCCCTGCTCGAGAGGGGCTCCAGGCCTTCCCCAGAAACCCCTTCAACTTCCTGCCTCTGAGACTACCAATATATTTGTGCCCCCCATCTGCCTCTCCTTTCCGCCTGTTCTGATAGAAAGGGTCCCTACTCCTTGTTAAGACCAGTCCCTTCACCTGCCGTGAGCTGGATCCCCTCTACCTTGCTCTTTCTCCTGTATATTCAACACCTCCCATCTTAAGAAATCAAAGAAAAAGTTCTCCTTCAAAACCACATCCCCATCCTCACTCCCCTAACCTTCCTCGTCCCTGTCGAACCCGTCCAAAGTCATCTATGCTCACTCTTTCCAACATCTCACCTCCCATTCTTTCCCCAACCTGCTCCAATGTGGCCTTGCCTCCACTGCCCCAGGAAAACAGCATGTTGCCAAGGCCACCGATGATCTTCATGGTCACCTGTCAGCCCTCATCTTCCTTGACCTCTCAGTGGGCTGCCCATGTCTTGACAGACACACTTCTCCACTGATATCACGCTCTCCTGACCTGACCTCTCTGCATACTCATTCTCCTTGGTTAGAGCGCCTTCCTCTACCTACCCTTAAAAGCTGGACACTCCCAGGCTTCTGTCCCAGGCTGCCTACTCTACCCATACTCTTTTTAGATGATCTCATCTACTCCCAAATCTTGAATTAACCGCCTATTTTCTAGTTCCAGCTTTGACTTCTCTTGCACTCATGCCAGCCAGTTCCTCATTCACCAGCTCCATAAAGCTGCTACCTTAGCAGGTCTGAACTCCAATTCTTGAGTTCTACTCTCCGCCCCACCCAGCTTATCCCTCCCCAAGGATCTTCATCTTAGTTGTCCAGCTCTTACCAGGTCTGGCATCCGGTTCATATCCAACCCCACAGCCACTTCTATCAGTTCCCCTCTAAGACCACACCTCCCCACCTCAACTGACTCCCTGCCCCCTCTCTCTCACTACTCATTTTCCAGAAAGCAGCCAGCCTGCTATCTGGGTTGGGAGATACTGATTATACTAATCCTCATGTCATAGCTCGGGGAGCTAAAGTCCTCAGAGGTGAAAGGATTTGCTCAAGGTCACAGAATGAATGTTTGTGCAGAGTCCTTCATGTCCAAAATCAAACCCAGTGGTCCACCCGGGACCCTCCAGACACAGATGTCGGGACACCTGAGCCTCCAGCCAGGTTCCCTTTTCAAGTCCTTTCTGCTCGTTGTGGAAGCCACCCACCTGCCAACCTCATGTCCGCTCCTCCCGCCGGGTTGCGCTGGGACCGCCGGCAGGTGTGCTGTTTGGAACCGTGCGCTCTGCGGGAACAAAGCGGAAGAGGTTTGGGTGGGAGTCAGGCGGAAGCCTGTGCTGGGCCCCTGCTTGGGGGAGGGGCGCGATCGGTACTACCATTTGTTCGTTCAACCACCTGGCCAGTCTAGGCTCCTCGGGAACGCGAGAGAAACCCTGCCTGGCCTGGAGGGGCCCAAGGAACCTATTGGCTCATAATCGTGCCCACAGGAGCCTCCAGGGCTGGGACGTGGAAGTGGTTCTCCCGGACTTGGGCTACTCTCGTGGGAGGCCCGGGACTTGGACGGTTTCTCCGGTCCTGGGGGCCGACGACGCAGGCAGGGCCTGCCGGGGACTTGCCTGGCCGTGGGGAGACGTGGGCTCGGTCAGGGAGGTGCCCTGTCGGGCCGGTGGCCCCGCTCCGCTCGGCGAGAGGAGGAAAGCGAGCTGCGCAGAGGGGTTGGGAAGGTCCGCGAATGGCGGCCCGGGGCGGGGCCACAGCCAGCCGACACCACCCCTGCTATCTGCAGGGGCCGCGGCAGCCCAGTCGCCTGGCTCTGTGCAGGCCCCACCTCTAGGCCCGCCTCTAGCATTAGCTCCAGCAGCCGAGTGGGAGGGGCCTGGGCGGGCCCCGTCCCCGGCGCCGGCTCCGCCTCTGCAGTGCGCCCTGACTGAGCCTCCAGGTCGTACAGTGGGAGGGTTGGCCCCGCCCCTTGTCCTGCTTATGCCCTGCCCGGGAGGTACCCCTGGAACGCCTCTTGGGTGGGACATCTCCGCCTACATAGGCTTGTTCGGGTGGGTTTCCACTCAGGCCCTAAGGTCAGATTTCTGAGGCGTGGGACGAGGCAGATGGATCTGGAGGCACGATGAGAAATTGTTCCAAAGTTGATATATGTGCTTTTTAAAAACCAGGGAGCGCCTGGTTTTTAAGAAGCGCCTTGTAGTCTGTGTAGAAGCGCGTGCCTGCTGCCTCAAGGGTCACTCTTATAAGAGGAGGGGCGTGGGAAGCGCTACTTGGACACACTTGAAAGATTTTGCCTGCTTCTCCCGCCTCATCGTTCAAGCCCCCTCCCTCCACAGAGGTGCTCCTGCAGTATTCTTTGTCCGCATTCCACCCTAAGGGCAAAGGAAAATAAACACTTTCTGGAGGAGTGGAGGAGGCTTTCACAACAAACAATGGATTTTCAGACCTCTTGGGTTCAGCCCTACAAGTAACGTGACTTTTGCGTTCTACACAACTCTATTTTCACTTGAAAACAAACTGACATCCCGAGTTCCTTAACAAGAAAAACGGAGGCTCTAGAAACAGCTATGCCAGGCTTCCCCCGCGGCTCCGGGCACTGCTGGACACCCAGCCCGCAGCGTGTGTTAGGGTGGAAAGCCCAGTAGGCGCTCATGGCGCGGGTGGAGAAAGATTTCTCACACAGAGATTAAGATACAAAAGTAAAAAGTTAATTTTACCCTTTAGAAGGCCAGAGAGAATAAGAGAGAGAGAGCGAGAGAAGCGGGGGGAAGAGAGCAGGGAGATGGTGTGCCATCCCAAAGAAAGAGAATGGAGATGCCAGCAGCCAGGCCAAGTGGCTTGCTGCTTTTATGGGGACAAAGATAAATAGTAATTGTTGTGGAGTAATTACCAGGTAGCTGGGAGACATCAGGTTGTCCGTCTTTCTCGTTTTGTCTCCGTTCCTGCGGACTTGGTTATCTCTGAAATGTAGTCAGACTTACCACTTTGCCCCTGAGATATGGTTTTCAGCAAGACCTGGAGTTTACCCGCCTATTGTCTGTCTGCGAGCTTCTCAGGAACTCCTTTAGGCTATAAAACAGATTCTAAAAGCTGTGAGCTGGGGAATGTAAAGAGAAAGATTTACATTTCCTTACAGCTCTTTTCAGGTGTTTGTGAAAACAGAGTCCCAGCAGGTTGCCTGCCAGCGGGAAGAGCAGAGAGAGATCGCATAGGATTGATCTTTAGCTGTTATTACAAAATTAGGGGATTAGATATTTTCCTGTTATTTCAGCAAAGCCGTCCTTACAGCATGGACCTGGGGTGGCCTCCAGTCGGCCCTTCACCAGTCACCCCAACTCCGCCTGGCTGGCTGGCTCTCTCCTCTCCATGCCTTCATTCACACTGCCCCCCAACCCTGCCCCAGCCCTCTCTGCCCATCAAAGCCCGAGCCCAGCTCCCCTCCCTTTTACAGGAAGGCTCCCTGACGACTGCCCCAAGCGCACCCTGACCACATACCGTGCTGGGATGGCTGGGGCCACTGCTGTCGACTGGCCCAGCTGTCTGGAGGGCAGCAGCTGGGTGGTATGAGAACCACGGAAACCTTCCTGCCCTTGGACCCAATGATCCCATTTCCCGGAAACCACCCCGCCACCAGGGAAATAATCCAAAATACAGAGAAAGCTCATAGAGCCAGGCATGATAGAGCTCTGGTTAGAATCTAGTAGTTTCTCTGTTGGCATACACAACACTCATACACACTTCCTCCTGACACGATCAAGATAATCTGTTTCAGCACCCTGCTGCTGTAGTCAGGGATTTGTATTTGGCTTTTGTCACGGAATTTGATGGCCTCTCAGGTATTTGTGGTACTGAACCTTGGGCTCCATGCCCTCCTTAGTGGGGCCCAGTAGAAGCAGCTCCCGGCTACTCACACCCGTGGCCTGCCAGGGGACACAGGGCATCTGCCATACTGGTAGTTCTTACAGGACTGTGTTTACATTTTGCTCTGAGCAGGGATTTAGGAAAGGTTGGTTTAATGAGTCCCTCTGAGGGTCCAGAGGCAACTCCCCCTTCCCCAGGGGCACCACACAAGTGACAGACCAGAAACCTGGGATTCAGTTCCAGGTCTTCTGTCCAGGGGCAGCCCTGTGTAAACCCTTTATTTTCTCTGGGATGTTTTTTTTTTTTTTTTTTTTTTTTTTGAGACAGAGTCTCACTGTGTTGCCCGGGCTAGAGTGCTGTGGCGTCATCCTAGCTCACAGCAAACTCAAACTCCTGGGCTCAAGCGATCCTCCTGCCTCAGCCTCCCGAGTAGCTGGGACTACAGGCATGCGCCACCATGCCCGGCTAATTTTTTTTTCTATGTATTTTTAGTTGTCCAATTATTTTCTTTCTATTTTTAGTAGAGACGGGGTCTTGCTCTTGCTCAGGCTGGTTTCGAACTGAACTCCTGAGCTCAAACAATCCGCCCACCTCGGCCTCCCAGAGAGCTAGGATTACAGGCGTGAGCCACCGCGCCCGGCCTCTGGGACTGTTTTTTTTTGTTTTTTGGAGACAGGGTCTTGCTCTGTTGCCCAGGCTAGAGTGCAGTGGTGTCATCACAGTTCACTGCAACCTCAAACTCCTGAATTCAAGTGATCCTCCTGCCTCAGCCTCCTGAGTAGCTGGGACTATAGGCACACACCACTACACCTGGCTATTTTAAAATTTGTTATAGAGGCTGCGGTCTCACTATGTAGCCCAGGCTTGTTTTGAACTCCTGGGCTCAAGCGATCCTCCTGCCTTGGCCTCTCAAAGTGCTAGGATTACAGGTGTGAGCCACTAGGCTTGGCCTCATCCTTTTTATGTGTGTACACGAGTGAGATATGAAAAGTTTATGTCCAAATGGAGTTTAAGATAGCTCTTTAAATAGGTATAAAATAAAATAAATATTGTAAGTAACAAGAACACTGTTACTTTGCTATTGGGGGTCTTTTGTAGTTCCATATAAATTTTAGAATTGTTTTTTATATTTCTGTGAAGATATCATTGGTATTTTGATAAAGATTGCATTGAATCCGTACATTCCTTTGGGTAGTGTTCTCATTTAAACAATATTAATTCTACCAGTCCATGAACATGGAATACTTCCATTTTTTTGTGTCCTCTTCAATTTCTTTCATCAGTGTTTTATAGTTTTCCTTGTCTAGATCTTTTACTTCTTTGGTTGATTCCTAGGTATTTTATATTCTTTGTAGCCATCGTAAACAGGATCGTTTTCTTGATTTCTTTTTCAGATTGTTTGCTATTGGTGTATATAAATGCTACTGATTTTTGTATGTTGATTTTGTATCCTGCAACTTTACTGAATTAGTTTGTTAATTCTATCAGGTTTTTGGTGGAGTCTTTAGTTTTTTCTAAGTACAAGGTCATGTCACCTGTGAACAAGGCTAACTTGACATCTTTTCCAATTTGGATGCCTGATTGCTCTGGCCTTATGTGGCCTTTTGTGTCTGGCTTCTCTCACTGAACAAGATGCTTATGAGGTGCTACCTGAATTGGTGGTAGAAAAGAAGAAATAAAATGTGAAAATTAAAAAATAAAAAAAATGTAAAAAAATAAAAAAAAAAAAAAGATGCTTATGAGGATCGCCCGTGTTGTAGCATGGACCAGTAGTTTGTTGTTTATTATTGCTAATTAGTTTATCCATTCACTCATGTTTGATGAAAGTTTGGGTTGCTTCCACCTTTTGGCTGTTATAAATAGTGCTGCTATGAACATATGTATACAAGTTTTCATGTGAAGATATATTTTGACCTCTCTGAGGTGGTATATACCTGCAAGTGGAATGGCTGTGACTTTGGCTTGCCTGTCTCTGCCACAGTGTGGGCACCTATAGCAGAGGTGGCAGTTCATTATATTCACATGGGCCTTAATGTCTCTGTGGAAGCTTAAGGACCCAGAACTGAACTTGACTGTCTCTACCTGGGTCCTCATACTTTTGTGCCCGTGTAGACACCTAGAGCTGAGGTGGAAGTTTTCTCCCTTCACCTGCATCTTCATGTCTGCATGAGTGTAGGCACACAGTGCTGAGGTGACAAGTGAATGTCATCACTTGGGCCCTCATCCCTCTAGCTCAGTGTAGTCACCCAGACCTGAGGTGACAGTTGGGTATTTTTACCTGGGTTTCATGTCTTGGCTATATTTTGGCACTCAGATCTGAGGTGAGACTTCTCTCACCTGGCCCTCATGCCTCTGTCAAAATGTAGACACACACAGAGCTAAGGTGCCAGTTGACTGTCCTCATGCATGCTGTCATGCCTCTGCCCAAGTTCAGAAACCCAGGTTGAGGTGACATTGATTGCTTTAACCTGGGCTTTTTTATGCCTTTTTGCAGTATGGGCACCACTATCTAGGCTATCAGTTGATATATGTCACTTGGGCCCTTGTGTGTCTGTCCCAGTGTAGGCACCCAGCATGAGACTGCTTCTCTTGTCCGTGCCCCAGTGGAGAGCCCACGTTGAGTGTTTTCTTGGGCCTTTACGTCCCTGTCTCAGCGTAGGGCCCCAGAACTGAGGTGAGTGACAGTTGAATGCCCTCACCTGATCCCTTGTTCCCCTCTCACAGTGGGGACCCGAGCACTGAGTTGTCAGGTGACAGTAATCACATCAGCCTGCCTGCCTGTGCCCCAGAGCTGGCAGCAGAGCGCATGTGCCTGTTGACTGTCCTCGCCTGAGACTTCTTGACTCTACCCTAGATTAGGCAACCAGAGCTCAGGTGTCAATTGAGACCCTCACCTTCATGCCTCTGCCTAAGTTTAATGACCCAGAGATGAAGTGACAGTTGAATGACCTCAATGGTCTCTCGTTCTCTTTTCCAATATACGCACCCAGATTTGTGCTTTCAGTTGACTGCCCACACCTGGACCTCTTGCAGCAGTCTCAGTGCAGGCAGCAGTGCTCAGGTGTCAACAGTTGACTATTCTCATCTGGGACCTCTTGCCTCTACCCTAGCATATCTGTATTAGAGCTCAGGTAACGGTTGAGTGACCACACCTGGATGCAAATGCCTAAACCCATTGTGCAGGCATCCAGAGCTGAGGTGCCAGTTGAGTGCCCTTACCTGGGCCCAAATGCCTCTGCCACAGAGTAGGCATTCAGAACTGAAGGGACAGTTGCCTGTCCCCACCTGGGCCCCCCTGCCTCTGTCCCAGTATAATCTCTATAAGAGATTTGGTGTCAGTTAAAAGCCCTGACTCGGGCCTCATACCTCAGCACCTATGTTGGCACACAGAGCTGAGGTGACAGGTGTGTTGCATCTGCCCCATTGTAAGCACACACATATGAGGTGAGTGATGACTTTCCTCAGTGTGTGTCATCCTTGTTTCCCAGTGTGGGTCCCCAGAACTCAGGTGACACTTGTCTCAATTCAGTGGGACCCTAAGGCCTGTGCTACAATGTATTCACCTAGAGATGAGGTGACAATTGTCTGTCCTTAGTTGGTCCCTCATGTATGTACCTCAGTGTAGGCACCCAGGGCTGAATTGACAGTTGATTGTCCTCATCAGGGCCCTCATAGGCAATCAGAGGTCAGGTGACAGACAGTTCAGTGTCCTCGCCAGGGTCTTCATGTCTCTGTCACAGTGTAGGCACTCAGAGCAGTATCCGATGGAGAGGTCCCCACGTTCCTCCCTTCCCACTCACACGCAGTCACTCATGTGTTGGGGCCATCTGTGTGGCTGGGTCCCTTCTCCACTTCCGGCACCCACTGCTGCCCCTGTACGGGAGCGTCCATCCCAGTGATGCCATGCCTGTAGATTCCCTGCAGTCCGTAAACATGAGGGACACGAAGAGTGAGGTGCTCGCTCCCTGGGGCTCGGGCCCCCGCGCCTTCAGTTTGGTCCCCACCCCCCTCAGGGCTCAATGCCATCCCCATGTCCCTATTCTGGGCTTTGAGGACGGCGCCCCCTGGTGGCGAGCGGTGGGTGAGGTGCAGATGCAACTTCAGGGGCCCGCTCTTTCGCATCCCCGCCTTCGTTCCGGGCCTGTCACAGAGCTTAGTCTGCCCAACTGCAGTTTCAAGACCCGCACTGCAGGGAGTCAAGGGCAATAGAGCCACACAGCTCCTCTCTAACCACTCAGCCAGAGTCACATCCAGCACGGTGAGCCCAGAGACGTTCATCACACCCAGAGGTGACTGTGGAGGTGGTATTGAGACCTTGGGACTGACCCATGCTCACTTACTTGGGTTTTGCGCCCTGTCCCCAGGAGTTTCCCTCCTGGCCACCCCTGCCTGATCTCCCATGGTAGGTAACAGAGGAGGCTGCCCCAAGTCCCAGGACACAAGGGGTGACAGTCTTGTTGCTTGCACACACATGCCCCCTACTAAGCCTTTCTTTGCACCCTGAGAGCCCTGGGGCTCAACCTCAGCGGGACCCCCAGCTCCCAGGTTTCAGCCTTTCCCACGACCCCTTCTGGAGACCATGGGCACCAGGACCAAGGCCAAAAGGCCACTACCCTTTGGCCTCAGTGCAGCCTCCAATCCTGTGACCTGCTCCTGGCCCCCATTAAGCTCCTTCCTTCCCTATTCAGGGTGCAGGTGAACTTGGTGACCTCCCTCCTCCCACAACCCAGAGGTGCCACTTCCCGTTTCCATGGGGGATGGGAAGAGTCGGAATCACACACAGGGGCACAGCTTGCATGTAGTAGGCAGGGAGCAAGACACCATCCTGGCTTATGGGACGGGAACTGTCCTGCCCACCGTTTGTTTCCTCTTTCACTGTGGATTTCTCCTGGGCAGGAGCCTCAGCTCATCCTTTGGATCCAGGCCTCTGCCTGCCTTCTTTGCCCTAACCCGTCCTTGAGCGTTTGCTTCCTCCATAAAACACACCACCACCTGGTCATTTTGTCCTGCTGGTGTCATCTCCTAGAACCCAGGCCACAAGCACAGGTACCGTGGTGTCGGCAGGACAAACACTGTGCTGAGACACTCAGGCTGCTACCCTTGTTGGGCCAGTGTACAGGGCTGAAAGTGGCCCCAAACACTCATTCCCACCTGGAATCTCTGAAGGTGGCCTTATTTGGAAATAGGGTGTTTGCAGATGCAGTCACATGAGTTAGGACGAGGTCATACTGGAGCAGGTGGGCCCTAATCCAGTGTGAGTGGTGTCTTTACAAGATGGAAGAGAAGAAGCCACACACGGTGAGGCGGCGGCCACATGGAGATGGAGGCAGAGAGCGGGGTGAGGTGGCCACAGCAGGACTGCCTGGAGCAGCCGCCACGAGCTAGAAGAGGCGGGAAGGAGCCTCCGGAGGGAGTGCGGCCCTGCCCACACCTGGATTTCGGACTCTGGCCTCCAGAAGTGGGGAGAAGCCATTTCTGGATTGGGGCTTGTATGAGTGTCCTGTGGCTGCTGACAATAACAGAAATGGACCTCTGCAAGTAGTATTTGGAAAGAGAGGTGACACAGTGGTCACAACTGGATGTGGGGTCAGGCCCAGAGGTGAGGAGCCTGAGGGAGGCCGGCTGCAGGGGAACCATGCAGGTGCACGGGGAGTGGGGGAAGCAAATGACAAGGGGACAGGAGGGGCTGTTTGCAGATTTAATGGAGAGGGACGAGGTGGCGGGGGGTACCAGCTGCTGCTTCTGCTTTTCCTGTGGTGGGGAGGCTACCTGCAGCTAGGGTGGGGCCTGTGGAGTGCAGAGTTGGGGGGACTGGGGGACTCCTAGGGGCCCAAGGCATTGCTGGGCAGCACCAGGGCCCTTCCAGCTGGTGACAAGAAATGTGGAATGGCACTGAGGCTGGCTTGGTTGCGGGCAGGTTCTCTCACACCCCAAGTTCTGAGGAGCCTGCCCACAGCCACCAGGGAGTGTGGTTTGGCCACTGCCCCACTGAGGCCCATAGCCCTCCCCGTCAGCCCTGGCTCCTGCCCTGGGCCATCCCCAGTCCCAGTGGCTGAGGAGCCCCAAGACAGACAGACAGACCGCCCTTCTCCTCCCTTCCGTTGGGGCTGGAGTGAGGGGACGAGGCTGGCTCAGGCAGGGCCTGAGGGGGCCTGGGATGGTCAGTCTCCAGTGCTTGGTGGCTGAGGAATGTAGCTGGCTGCAGGCGGCAGCAGCAGCAACAGTGGCGAGGGGCAAAGGGTGGCCCAAGCCCGGGGCCAGGAATGTGACACTGAGGCCTGTGGTCCCGAAGCCCTCCCGCGGGGTCGGACAGTGGGAAGGAGAGACAGAGTGGCCAAGGCGGGTGGGGTGTGGGTGGGCACCAGGCTCAAAGCTTGTGGGGGTTCACCCACTTGTAGGTGCCCTCGTACTGGAAGCCCACTCTCTTCATCAGCTCGTCTGCCTCTGCGGGGCCGCGGCTGGAGAGGGGACAGGCAGGGTGGTGAGGGAAGCCTGCCCTGGGCACAGGCTTGCCGGCGCTCCCTGCCCTGCCCTGCCCTCACCTGCCATAAATGTAGGGGATGGGTTTGGGCTTCTCCAGCTCGATCTTGTGCAGCAAGGGGGTGAAGATCCGCCAGGCCTCCCGGAGCTCGTCGCTGAAGGGAAACAGTGTGGCTTGGGAGGGGGGCGGCACAGAGGGAGGGGGGAAAGGCCACCCCCATGGCCACAGGGAGCCCTCACCTGCGCACAAAGTGCATCTGGCTCCCACAGAAGACATCCAGGATGAGGCGCTCATACGCATCAGGGAGCTTCACGTTCTGCAAAGGAAGGGGTCTCACTGACACCACCGTGCGTCATCCCCAGGCCCGGAGGCCTCCTTCACGGGCCCCGCCCCCAGGGGCACCTTGTATCTGTTGCCATAGGTCAGGTCCAGCTCCGACTCCTCAGGGTTGAAGAACATGCCGGGCTTCTTGGTCATCATCTTGGTGTACACGGCCTCGTTGGGCTGCACGCGGATCACCAGCTCATTGCGCTTGCACTGCTGGTGGAAGATGTCGCCAGCCACATCGCGGAACTGCAGTCGCACCTCTGCCTTGCGCTCATTCAAGGCTTTGCCGCAGCGCAGGATGAAAGGCACCCCTGGATGAGTGACAAGGCCAGTCTCAGGACCAGCTCTCTTGGTGGCATGGGCTGGGGTGTGTGAATGTGCATGCGTGGCGTGGCAGTGTGGCAGGGTGCTGTGTCCCACCCCTGCCAGCCTCCGCCCTCCAGCAGCGAAAGGGTCTCCCAAGGACGTGCCCCGCCCTGCCTCACTCAGCCCCAGAAGCACCACCTACCGTCCCATCTCTCATTCTCCACATACAGGACGACAGCTGCGAAGGTGGCAGTGGTGGACCCATGGGGCACCGTGGGGTCGTCCAGGTACCCTTTGGTGGCCTCGCCCTCTCCACTGGGGTTCCCCACATACTGGCCCAGGACCACATCATTGGCCCGCACCTCTGAGATACATTTCAACACTTTGACCTGGGAGAAAGCCAGGAGAGAGTGGGCCCCCTGGGTGATGAGCTGGGGCACAGGTGGCAGGTGTGAGGAAGCTGGGTGGACCCAGCCGGTGGGTTTCCCCACAGGGAGTGTGCGCCCTGCACACGAGCAGCCCTAATGACGGACGGGAGGAAGTACCTCTTTGGCTTTGCTCACTGTGCCAGGGGCACGGCCATGGGTCCCTTCCCTGAGGGCCCTCCAGGACCACCTTGGCCCACTCTTGTGTTTTCTGAGGAGGAAGGTGAGGCCTGCTCTTGGTTGTACTGCATTCACTGTCACACCTGGGACATGACAACCTGGCCTCATGACTCCCAGCCCTGGGTGCTTCTACCTGCTGTCCTCAGAGCTGGTAGCTTCTGTAGGGGACAAGGACACCTGCCATTTGCATATCTTGCTCAGCGTCTTAGAAGTGGGCCTGCTCGGGGGCACGGCTGCTGGGGACCAGGAGGGTACACCCCCACCCACCTTCTCATCACGGACGTCGTCCGAGTTGGTGGAGGCGGGCTTCTCCATGGCCACCAGACACAGCATCTGCAGGAGGTGGTTCTGCATCACGTCCCTGGTGGCAGAAGAGGCCAAAGCTCTGGTCAGGCGCCACTTCCAGGTCAGGGGGAAGCAATGAGGAATGGGCCTCTTAGCCCCCTCCCTGTCAGCCAAGTTCCAGGGGGGCCTGTGCTTCCCAAACAAGGCTTTCCAGTGGCAGGTGCAAGACTTGCTTCCAGATCCCCACCGTCTTCCAGGTCCCCTTAAAGCAAGGAAGTAGACAGCGACCCAGCCACTGAGCCAGGAAACCCGAGGGGTGTGGCCACCCTTGACAGCTCAGCTCCTCAGATTTTGACCGTTGGGGTACGAGGAAGAGCTTCCCACAACAGGGAGGGCCAGCCCTGCAGGTGACTGTGCCCCACGCCCTGTGCCGCCTGCCACGAAGGGGAAACAGGCTCTCACCGGATGATCCCAAATTCATCGAAATACCCCCCACGACCCTCAGTGCCAAAGGGCTCCTTGAAGGTGAGGATCACGCAGGCTATGTTGTCCCGGTTCCAGATGGGGCCGAAGATCCTGTTGGCAAATCTGTAGGGATGAGCAGGGCAGAGGCTGGCACAGCAGAGGGGCAGGGGCCCCATGTTCTGGAGGAATTCGTCCTCGGGGAGGCAGCAGGACAGTCGAGGCTCCACAAGCACCGACTCCTGACACCGTCCCCTTCTCCTCCGTCCCCCAGAAGAGCGCCCACCTCAGCACCATGAGGTTCTGGACCATCTCCTTGCCCAGGTAGTGGTCGATGCGGTAGATCTGGTCCTCCCGGAACAGAGAGGAGATGTGGTTGGACAGCTGGTCAGAGCTCTGTAGGTCCCTCCCGAAGGGCTTCTCCACAATGACGCGGTTCCAGCCTCTGCCGGGAGCCCAGAGCCATGTCACCTCCCTTGACCCCCTCCTCAGGGAGTATGGGTCAGACTGAGTTACCCCTGACTCCCCTCCCCAGGGAGCAGGGCCTCCCTGCCCCCTCTGCATCCTCAGTTCTGCTGGGCTGGCCTTTGTCCCCTGCCTTCTGTCCCTGGCTCTCAACAGGAAGCTCAACACCTTGAAAACCTTCCTGCCAACCCGCTGGCACTGGACAGCACTGCTGACATGTCACATTGGCCCTGTGTGGGGGGACAGGTGCTGGCAAGGGCATGGGCTCCCCCTTGGTTTTTTTTTTTTTTTTTTGAGACAGGGTCTCACTCTGTTCCCCTGGGTAGAGTACAGTGGTGTCAGCACAGTTCACTGCAGCCTCAAACTCCTCAAACTAAGGAAGTGGCAGGAGCAGGTGAGGCAGTTTTCTGCCCCAGTTTGGCAGGCAGCATGGGTAGCTTTGGGGAAAGCAAGGATGCCAGGTGCTAAGAGGGGAGCAATCCTCCTGCCTCAGCCTCCTGTGTAGCTGGGACTACAGGCGCACCCCACCATGCCTGGCTAATTTTTCTGTTTTTAGTAGAGACGGGGTCTCGCTCTTGCTCAGGCTGGTCTCCAACTCCTGAGCTCAAGCCATCCTCCCGCCTTAGCCTCCCAGAGTGCTGGGATTACAGGTGTGAGCCACCGCGCCCGGCCTTTCCCCATTGGCTTTAAAATGAGAAAAGGGCCCTTTCTTTGCTGTGTCACGAAGAGCAAAACCAGGAGGGCAGGGGAGAGTGGGGAGACAAAGGACCGTGGGTCTGGGAATCCGCTGGAGTAAGCGCCGCTCAGCGGGCTTCTCGTGGAGCAACACTGCCACCTCGTGGCCCTGGCGGGGACTGGGGAAAAGGCAGAGAATGAGCCCGCGGCAGCGAGTGTTTCATGGAGCAACACCGCCACCTTGTGGTCGCGGTGGAGACTGCTGCCAGGGACTGATTTCCCGCCTGATGGACATTGAGGCTGCTGCACTCCAGCGCTTGAAACACATTTGAACCACGAAGATGGGTAGTAACATTTTCAGCAAGGACTGTTAGAAAACTACCGTATTTATAGCCTATTCCCTTCTTTGGAGAGCTAATTCGTGTAGAGAACAAACAGGGGGCACCCAACTTTTCAGCTGCCTAGAGCCATTTGACCTGAGGGCTCTTCGGAGCAGGGGGAGCCCCTGCCCGGGCCAGTGCAGCTCTGTAGCCAGGGCAGGGCAGACAGGCCATGGCAGCAGGGAAGGCAGGCGAAGGACAAGCCTTACGTCTGGCTCATGCAGGTCTCGTGGATGTTCTTAGTGACGGCCTCATAGACGGTGGGGGGCAAGGCCAGGTAGAAGAGACGGTTGGCTTGCAGCCCCTGGGGAAGTGCATTCATGTGGCTGTTGAGGCGCTTGTAGGAAGCCGTGTCATCGTACTGGCCAGCCACATAGGAGTTGCGGGCAAAGAACTCCTCCAGCTTGGGCTTCTCCTCTGGGGTGGCCTGGGAGAGATGGACAGACAGATGTCGGCCCCTCCCTTAGAGTCCGTGTCTGCCCTGCCCCAGGGGAGTGGGGGGGGGTCTCATTTGTGCTCTCATCCCACACCCAGGGTGGGCTTCCCACACTGGGTTCAGCGCCATCTCGGCAACTTTGCACATCCAGGGCAGGGGGCTGAGGCTGGCAGCATGAATGCATGCCTGGGGACCTGGTGCGCTAAGACAGAAGTGAGATTTCAGGAAACTCTGACCGGGAGAAATGCACTGGAGAAGCCTCGCTCTCCAAAATCATTACGCCAAACTACAATGTGTTGAGAAAAGGCAGCTTGGAAGGATTTCTGCCGGTTAAGAGGCACATTCAACCTGCCCCCAGAGCACAGCAGGGTGGAGCCAGTGAGGCCTGGTCAAAGGGTGGCTGGGTGATGGGGGTCTCTGTGCCCATTGCTCCCCCTGCCACTAAGGAAGTGGCAAGAGCAGGTGGGGCAGTTTTCTGCCCCAGCTTGGCAGGCAGCATGGGTAGCTTTGGGGAAGGCAAGGACGCCAGGTGCTAAGAGGGAAGAACACCCCAGGATGGGATGGGAGGATGTCCCCTGGTGGCTACCTGAGGCTGGCCCCATGGGAGCTGGCAGAGAGGGCAGAACCAGGCCAGGGGAGACCCTGAAGCCACTCACTTTGAAGAAGGGCTCACTCTGCTTGCGGATGTCAGCCACCGTGAGGCGGGAACGGGCATAGCCCACAATGAAGGTATTTTCAGGCAGAAGGCCGTCCCGGAACAACCACCTGAGGGCAGAGCACAGCCATAGCCAGAATGCAGAGGGCAGGGCTAGGCCTGTCCCTGCTGGGGAGGCCACAGGAGCAGCGTGGGGGATGGACTTACCAGATGGTGGGGTAGATCTTCTTCTTGGCCAGGTCGCCCTGTGGCAGAGGGAACAGGTGTGGTTAGAAGCAGCTGGGGACACAATCTAGATTGTCCCCCACCCCACTAGCTCAGGATCAGCACTCAGCTGCGAGCATATCTGTCTTGCCCCCATATACGGCCAAAGGAGCCCTGAGATCTGAGCCTGCGCCAGTCCTCTACCCTCAACCCGGAAGGCATAAACTCGTCTTTTTTGGTACTCATTCTCTAGCTATAAAGAAAAAAATTAAAACTCAAACACATCTCCTGCATTCAAGAAGAAAACCTGAAAATTCAATTCAGTAGAACTGAATGAGTAAGGAAGTACCATGTATGCAAATTTGTGAGATGTGCTTGAAGACAGTGAACTAAGCATTCCATTCATGAAGTCAGAAAAAGGACAGTAGAATTTTAAAGCCAAACAAATTACAAGGAATGAAATAATGAAAAGAAAAATTAATATCATGAAAAACTAACCAAAAGAAAAGATTAACAAAGCCAAAAGTTGGTATTTGAAATAGGCTAATAAGAACAGGCAACCCTTTGGCACAGTTGCTTTGTAAAAAGGCACAAATAACTAGGGGGTCATAGCTGGGCGTGGTAGCTTGAGCCTGTCATCCCAGAGACTTGGGAGGCTGAGGCAGGAGGACGGCTTGAGCCCAGGAGTTTGAGACCAGCCTGAGCAACCCAGTAAGACCCCAATCTCTAAAAAATAAACAAACGAAAAAGAAAAAGAAAAAAAAACCACAAGAAAAAAACCAAAACACTTGGGTGTACCATTGGACCAAACTACAGACAGGAAACAGAGAAAAGGGTTTTATGAACAACTTTACTCCACGTGTGACAACCTAGATGAGATAGACAAATTTCTAGAAAAGGCCAACCTACCAAAACAGAGCAAGGGACCTGAGTGGGGCAGTGGCCACAAACCTTCCCACCAAGACAACTCCTGGCACAGAAAGCATTGCCAGTGGTTCTATGAAAATGCAAGGAAGAGAGAATTCCAGTCTTAAGTAAACACTTCCTGTAGACTGAAGAAAGGGCAAGGAAAGAACGTGGCAAAACCCAGAGGCCTGTCTGATTCACACACACATGCAGATGCAAAACGCCTGTAGAAAAACATCGGTAAGCTACATCCCGCAGCGTTAGAAAATGTAACATATTAGGACCAAGTTGGTTTTATCCAGGAAATAAAAGACTGGTTTGATATTAAGAAAGAAAAATCAATCATCAAAATTCACCACATTGGCCGGGCGTGGTGGCTCACACCTGTAATCCTAGCTCTCTGGGAGGCCGAGGCGGGCGGATTGTTTGAGCTCAGGAGTTCGAAGAGTTCGAAACCAGCCTGAGCAAGAGCGAGACCCCGTCTCTACTAAAATTAGAAAGAAATTAATTGTACAACTAAAAATATATAGAAAAAATTAGCCGGGCATGGTGGCGCATGCCTGTAGTCCCAGCTACTC